TATTTTGAACAGCCATTTCAGTAGAATGGTTCAGCACATTTGCTGCTATAACTAATGCAAATAATTCTAGCTTTAATGCATCTGCTGCGAAACTACCGTATACCTTTGGGGATTGTGTGCACATGCTTTTCACTCCTAGGCAACCAGATGGCTCTGGCACCAAAGCGCTCTGAGTGAGGACAATAGTTAATATGGAAGAAGGTGCACATGCAGTCATCGTATGAATCTGGATCTTGCCTTCTGGAGTGCTCTCTGTCTATCTGTCATTAACTTCTATGTGCAGGGTAGGCCTGGCCACGTAAAGCTCTGTTCTTAAAAAAGTCCAAAGCATTTGAAATGTAAATTGCAAAAAGAAAGCAGTTGTACTGGAGGAAGAAAAATTGGACCGCTTTGTTCTTTCCAGAGGAGACTAAACTTGTACACAGGCAATTTAATTTTTCCATTAGTAAGGAAAGCTGTTTATTAGCAGTAAAGCAGACTTACAAAGCTATCCCTGTACCTCCTTATATGCAAAAATGCAGAGGCAAGGACTTCTGGGATTTAGTTAATAGATTTGACTGGAAGTGGGCTTCACACTTCTATAATTTTCTATTTGACATTTGCTGTAATTCTAATTTTTCTGCAGTGGAATTTAAAACCCTTTTCTGACTTCCCGTCCCAAAGGACTAGTGAAACAGGAATTTTAAAAATGTAGTTTATTTTGCCAGAAAAGATAACACGCATGCTTATTAATATATACTTCATATTTTTTCTTACTGGAAACTGACTCTTCATATAACAATGTATTTGAAATTCATATCACTTACCTTTTTTCTAAACCAATTTTCTCATTTTTTTACATTCTTGTCCCATTTTTTGCAGTGCTTTCTAAGCTTGGTTTCCCAGCTGTTTAAAGTTCAATTCCCATCACCAGCCCGCCAGCATAGCCTGTGGGTAGTCATGATGGGGGTTGTAGGCCAGTGACAGAGGGGAGCTACCGTGGGAGATCTCTGAAAGCTTGTCAGATTGGTACAGCCCTCCCCAACCTGATGCCCTCTAGATGTTTTGGACTAGAATTCCTGGCCTTCCTGACCATTGGCCATGTTGGCTGGATCTGTTGAAAGTTGCTGTATTTGCCTTCCCGCCCCCTGAGATCGGCAGCTGAGGCCCTTCTCCAGGAACCCTCCATGAAAGACATTAGGAGGGTGAGTACCGGAGGAGGGCTTTCTCTGGGGTGGCGCCCAGCCTATGGAATGCCCTCCTTAGAGAGGTCCGCCTGGCGCCATCGTTATTTGTTTTTCAGCGCCAGGCTGAGACCTTTTTATTTCAACAATATTTTAATAACTTGTAATATCAGCTTATAGGTTTTAATCTGCAGCCAGGGTGGATCTGGATTTTATGTGTATTATGTTTTGTTTTATTTTGTGTAAGCCGACCCGAGGCTATGCGATGGGACGGCATACAAATACTCTAAATAAATAAATAAAACATTTGCAGGAACCGGGTCAGGCGATCTATGCTAGCACAAGTCCGGGTGCTTGGTTTCCAGGCCATCTACTAACCGGCCACTGGCCCGTCCTACCCCTGCTCAGTTTGAGAGAAAGACTTACAACCAGCCCAGCATAGTATGTAATGCAGTAGACTTGGTCCCACTTACAAACGGCCAGTGCAGGCTTTAAAACAGGTGAAATGTGGTCTTTCCATGAGACCAGCCTAGCTGCCATATTTGGTACCAGTTGCAGTTTCAGGCGCAGGGGTAGCCCTAGGTAGAGCGCATTGCAGAAATCGCCTCCAGTGGCCTGCCAGCATCCTCAGGACTTCCAAATCGAAATTGATCCAGGATATCCCCATTCGCAGGGCTGTTGGGCACCTCTGTGTTGATCTCCTTGTCCATGATCTCATCAGACGTGGCTCTTACCCAAGAAATGTTATCTGCGGTGAGCAACCGATAGTGCTAAAGGTAGGTTAGGGGGCATGGGGGCACCACCCCAAACAGCTCTGCCGGATGTGAATTTGCAATATGAGTAGAGAAGAAACCCTTCTTTGCTGCTCTTATTGCCGCCCGTAGGAGCAAAGTACTCTCTGCAAAGTGTGTTGTCAGAGATAAGTCTAGATTTCTGCCATTGGCGCTCAAGTCGTCATCCATCCTCTCTTCATACATCGGAGCCCTTCTGTATACCAGGGAGCTCCTTTAGAAGCCAGATTGAGAGGACAGTCAGAGGCAGTCATGTCTAAGGCCCTGGTCAAGTCCTGATTCCATGACTAGGGACACGGCAGGATCACTGGCAGAACTGTCCCAAGAGCCCCCTAGGACTGACTGGGAAACTTGGATCCCTGTGACTTTGGGGGTGGGCCATTCTAATAGGTCCATCATTTCAACAAGGGCACAAAAGATGGGCTATGGTCTTAGACCATAATGGTCTATGACCAAGCCGAAACTGAGAGCACGGAAAGCTCATTCTTCAAAACCAGCTGTGTGGAGCATCAAGGATGTGCCCAGCACTGTGTGTGGGTCCAGAAACCAACTGGGACCAGCCCCATGGCTGCCATGGTCAACAGGACTTCATGGGCAGCACCAGACAAACTGGCCTCAAAAGCAACATTGAAATCCCCCAGGATCAGTGTGGATGAAATCCAATGATTTTTAAAATAGAAAAAGGATTTTTAAAATTTAAATTGACTTTTTAAAGAAATAAAATGATTTTGAGGGAAATCTATCTAAAGATAGTTTATTTAGGATACATTATAGTTCAAAGGTTATTCATCATGAAATAAGGATTAGTTTTTAATTATGTAGCATGAGGTTGTATATTCGTGCAATGTTTAAAGTTTTTGGTAAATAAATTCCCATTAATCCATTCACAACCTCATGCAGTTCCAGAAGTTTCTGTAAGATTACTGGGCAGTTTTTCCACCTAGAAGATTTTATCACAGATGCTTGGTTTTACGGTTCTCAAAACTCTGAATTTGTGTTTGCAGAGATCACATGGCTCTTGTTTACAGGCAAAATGTTATAAAATGAAAATACAGAGTTGAGAAAAGGACTTTAATCCCATTGTTCCTTTGCAAATCTAAGTATGCAGAATCAACCCCTTACGTCTTAAGTACTAAGTTTCAAAACATTCAGTGAATAGTGGAATAGATCTGCACAAGAAGCTAAGTGTGACGAGGGAAGGGCAAGCAGTAAAATGAAAGCAAAACCTTTTGAGCAGAATACTCTGCCAGTCCTTGGGTCTTTTTGTGTATCATATTATTCTTTCCTTGGGGGAGGAAGCCAATAATGGCAGCAGGGCATAAAAGAGATCCCACTTTCCAAATATTTTAATGACGTTCCTCTACCTACAAGTCAGGCAGGCAGGCAGGCATGCTAATTATGTAGAAAACCATGATTGAAATCTAGTCTTACTGACTAATGATACAAATCGTGATTTAAATCAAATCCACCCTGCCCAGGATTAATGATGTGCGAGAATCCAAGACCAGTTCTGTGAGTTCAGTCAGAGATTCTGCTAGGCAACGAGGTGTTCTGTATACCAGAAGATTCCCCAGGCTGTCTCTGAGCCTCGCCTTCAAGTCCACACACTCAGTGTATTTCAGCTCCTTGACAGAGTACCTGGTCAAAGGGATGGTATTCTTACAGGTCACAACCACACCCTCGCCCACTTTGCTGTGCCTGCTGCACAGCACAAGGGAGAGCTGTTGTGCCTTCTGCCTGCCTCTGACTCCAAGAACACAGGGATGGTTAAGTGGCTACGGCTCGGTCATGTTAGGGACTTTCTCACAAGTGATTCAGAACATCTGCTGTCACTGTAGGTAAATCATTCCACTTCCCTTCACGCCACATTCAACTGATCCTCTGGCTACCCCTCTGGCAGCAAAAATAAGGTCAGGGATTTCGGCATACTTTAGCAGAAGGTGCAGGGGCTTCCCTAGCCAGGCAGGAGCTGTAAATTTCAAAAAAGGGGGCCAACAAGGAGCTGTGTTCAGTGGCTTCTGGGGCCTACGGAATATGGAGGCGATCCTCTGAGAGAAGTGGGAGGAAGAAAACGGGGAAGATTAGACTGCAAGCATTTTATACTGTCCTGGAAAAGCAGTTAAGAGCAAGGGGGATGCTATGAGGTTTAAATAAAATCCCAATATTGGGAATAGGAATCTGCCTTTCACTGAGTTATTTGATGAGTCCTATATTGACACGCGTCAGCGATAGATCTCATGCGAGATTTTTCCCGCCCTCTTGGAATTAAAGCGAGGACCTTTTACATATCAAGCAGGTGCTTTATATTGAGCTGTGGTGGTTCCCTGGCTCTGGCTCACATTCCGCAACTAGTCCTGAATCTGTTGGCACAGCAAAGCATTAGGGTGGGCAAAGAAGAAAAGTGTCCCTTTTCCCCCTCACAAGCTCTGCACCAGCTTGACAAGACTCCCCAAATCGTACCTGCTTAAATGAGGGCATGTAAACACTTGGATGAAACATCTGCCCTCACCTCAGGAAATAGATACCATGGCAGTAAGTAAATGGCCGCTCTCTTTGGTGGCCGTTTCTTAGTGTGCAGTGCGTTTTGCATGGAAGGAAGTTACTCAAGGAGCGATTGAGCAATCCTGCCTCAGGGCCACCAAAGGAAGGAACCGGGGTGCGTTGCAAGAGCATCTGTAGCCTCCTGCCTGCTTTGCATGACATCCGACTTTGCATCAGCAGTGCGGTGCTGCTTTCGTGTTCCCCCCGCCCTTGCATGCTCAGCTCTGCCCTCGCCGTGTTTCCAGCGTGCTTTTTAATGCCCTAATTCCTAAGTTATTGAGATGGGAGCGTCTTAACACGCCTGAGCCATCCTGTCAGATGTATACAAAAGCAAAGGACTCCCAGCCAGTAAAATGTCTGCTTGCTGCCCACGGTCTTCTCATTGACTTGCAGATCATATGCAGTGTTAAGTTTGAAATAGCAAGGAGTTCGTTGTGGTGAATGCCAGCTGCAAAGCAACCTTTTCCGTTCTGGTCCATAAACACTCCCTTTGTGCCTTTTGCAGGTAACTCTTTGCACCAGAAGACATGGACAGCGGCAGTTTCATCCAGTTTGACGTTCCGGAGTACAGCAGCACTGTGCTCAGTCAGCTAAACGAGCTTCGCCTGCAGGGGAAGCTCTGCGACATCATTGTGCACATTCAGGGTCAGCCTTTCAGGGCTCACAAAGCCGTTCTCGCTGCCAGTTCTCCGTATTTCCGCGACCATTCAGCATTAAGCACCATGAGCGGCCTGTCCATATCAGTCATTAAAAACCCCAGCGTCTTCGAACAGTTGCTCTCTTTTTGTTACACTGGAAGGATGTCTTTGCAGCTGAAGGATGTTGTCAGTTTTTTAACCGCAGCTAGTTTTCTACAGATGCAGTGTGTCATCGATAAGTGCACACAGATACTTGAAAGTATCCATTCAAAGATCAGTGTCGGGGAAGTGGACTCGGTCACCGTTGGGGCTGAAGAAGTGCCAGAAAACCACAACGGGGTTAAAGATGGCAGTTACTTTGCGAATCCAGTTGAGATCTCTCCTCCCTATTGCTCTCAGGTGCGGCAGTCTGCTTCAGGCAGCGACCTGAGAATGGAAACAACTCCAACCAAGGCTCTGCGAAACCGTCTGCAGGAGGAAGGGCATTCAGACCGCGGAAGCAGCGGGAGCGTTTCGGAATATGAGGTTCAGATTGAAGGCGACCACGACCAAGGCGATTCGGGGGTCCGAGAGAGCCAGGCTGCCGAGGTGAAAGTCAAAATGGAGAAATCTGACCGGCCGAGTTGCTCAGATAGCTCCTCGCTCGGCGATGATGGTTACCACACAGAAATGGTTGATGGAGAGCAAGTGGTCGCCGTCAACGTTGGCTCCTACAGCTCGGTACTGCAGAATGCCTACTCGTATTCTCATGGCGCATCCCATTCCGCGAGTGGATCCGAAACCTTTGGAAGCCTGAGGAACTCCAGCTCCTCCAGGTCCATGCTCGGCTCTTTCAGAGGCCGTGGGCGCCAAAAGCGGATCTCCACCAGCCACTTGCACAGCGACGTTTCAGGCCTGGTTCCAGGAGCCGACGGTGAATCTGCAGCGAATCATCCAGGATATGAAAGCAATCCACGGGAAAGGAATTCAAGGGGCCACTGGTACGCCTACAGCGAAAGGTTAATCTGCATATACTGTGGGAAGTCTTTCAACCAGAAAGGGAGCCTTGATCGGCACATGCGATTGCACATGGGAATAACCCCCTTTGTGTGCAAGTATTGTGGGAAGAAGTACACGCGCAAGGACCAGCTTGAATACCACATCCGTGGCCACACAGACGACAAACCTTTCCGCTGCGAGGTCTGCGGGAAATGTTTTCCTTTCCAAGGCACCCTGAACCAGCACCTGCGGAAGAACCATCCCGGCATAGCAGAAGCGAGGAGCAGAGTTGAATCTCCAGAAAGAACAGATGCCTATATGGAGCAGAGAGACGATGATGCCACAGTCTCCGAAATGTTGGATTACAGCATGGATGTGCACACATCTGATTAAAGACTACGTTCCCCAGTGCAATTCAGACAAAGCACATTGTTCAATGCATTTCCTTCTTGTTCCTTTGATTAAGTTTCACAACAGTTATAACAGTGTTGTGATTTTCCTAATATTTTGCAAGTCTTGTGAACATTGTTCCTGGATGGAAGGCTACTGTTTTGTTTTGAAGGAGGGAAGGGTTAGCTTTACTCCTGAAAATGTTTATAAAGGGCAGGTTATAGAAAACGATGCACTTCGTAGTAGGGTGGGTGAGTGGGTGTTCAACAGTGAAAGATATTAGAATAAGGCGGATATTGTTGGCTGATAAACCATCGTGTATTCTCTCTTGTAGTGCTTTGTGCAGCCCAATCTTATGCACATGTGCTTGGATACAAGCCCTCCTGAGTTCAGTAGGACTTATTCCCAGGTAGCTTGCTAGGATTGCAGCCTTAACCAAACAGAAATTATATAGGAGCATAGAAATGCTTTCCAGAGGTCCCATCCATGTGTCATACTAAGTTGTGGGTGTGGGTGGGGTTTTATTTGTTTTTGGAATAACTATTTTGATAGCTTTGAATTTTATATAATATATATTATATATAAACATATATAAAATGTTCACTTTTTCTCTTCTGGTTGGGGGTGAATGTAGAAATATCTTAAGTGGGAAAAAAAACCTCGCTCTATAAGGCTTTCAACTCTTAATCCTCTCTTTAGGGGCTTTTTTTGGATTTTTTTTCCCATGAAACTTTGCTCTTTTTTTCCCACGTTTAAATAATTGTGTCCAAAAGTGAGCAGAGCTTATTTTGAAATAGCTTTTGCTGCATAACATACGTAAACCAAATGCCATAAACATATTAACTTATGATGGGGACTGTTTGGGGGGTTTTGTCTAGAGTATAAACTGGACAACCTGTGGTGCTGACCCTTTTTTATATAGAAATGTATTGTTATATTAGCAAACTCTCAGAAGTAGCATTGTGGTTTTAAATGTTTTTTACTGTCCTCAGAATCTACCTTCATTTCGTACTGTAGAAGCATACCAGGTCAATCAATCTTACCTTAATCACGCTGAATATATACAGTTGGTTTAATAGTAAGCTAAAAGGGATCTTGTAGTCAAATCTACAGTATTTCAGAGCAGTATTCTAGTGGATCTCTTCTGTGGAGAAGATTTCAGGTGCACCGTGACTTACTATTTATCATTTTCAAGCAAAGCTGAAGCACTTGTATTTTTACTTTTTTTAAATGATGTTATATGGGAATGATGAGCAATATGTCCTGTTGTATTAGAGGGGCTTTTTGGCCTCTGCAATTTCAATGACTCTTCAGTATTTTTTCATAAAAGAGCCAATAACAAACATAGTTACATATTTTATTTTTCAGAACCCTGTTTTCTTTCCTTCAAACATGGTATCTATCAATGTGGTGCTAACTTTTTTCTCTGAAGTCAGTATGGCTTAGAAAATGTGAAACTGAACGATAGCAGAGTGACCTAACTTTCTGGTTAGACTATTTGTCTGAAACTTCGAAAGTGTGAGCTGGCAGACGTTACTGTATAAAAATTCTATGGTATAATCAGAATTTGGATTTTGTTAAACCTATCTGTAAGCATATAGTTAAGCTTGGCCGAATGGGACCCTTTAGGGAAATGCCTTTGCTCTAGAGGCACAAAGTTTCTGCTCTAGCGGCACAAGAAAGAAAGATTTGCCCAAGCTGTTTGCTGCTGTTGTACTTCAGTTTCTGATGCATTTCCTGGCTGAGTGAACAGAGCAGTGGAGTCAATTGGTGTTAAAATGATGCCATCGCGAGTATGGGCAAAAGCACAAAGAGAGCCGTCTTGTTTGCTGAGCTTGAACAGGTGCATTTGGAGTTCTCGCAATCTCAGCTTTCTCTCGTCTTCACTTGCCCATAGTAATGTACTGTTCCCCCTAAGTAAATTGTGTGTGTGTGTGTGCGTGTGTTGCATTCCTGTAGACACAAAATTAAGCAAAATAGCAAATGCTGCATAGGAATCTATTTACACCTCTGCCAAATCAGGATGTTGAGATCGTGTGAATGTTTTACTAACCTCAAGGTTATTTATTTGTATTCGAGTAAGTCTACATTTGAATCTGAGCCTCTGCTTAATTTTTGTTATGATTCCCTAAACTTCTCACAACTGTGAATTTTATTATCTGATGATAAATGTGTGACTCTTCTTTATGGGTAATCATAACCTTCCATCCAAATTCTCATTCTACTGAGGCTACTTCTGTATTTCATTTGATTTGCATTCTGGGGTTTTAAACACTGAAAATACAGCTGTGGTTATACTGCGAATAGCTGAGATGTGGTTACTGGATCTTGTGAAAACCTTTGCAGAGTTAGTGGGAAGCATCTTATTAAGTGCAGGCAGTTTATACAACAGGCAGCGCGCCCCCCAACCCGCCCCCAATCTTCTTTCCTGTTCAGATTATTGGTAAACAAAAATAAGCTTGCTGGCTTGCAGTGGTTTTGAGAGTTTGCAACATTGTTTGAGATTTGAATGATTTTAGACATCCTGGAGAATAGAATTTTGCAGTATTCTTAGAATGAACTTTTCATTACTGTCATGGTAGCCAGTAATAAGGATTAACATTAGTACAACTTACAGTAAATCAAGTCTGCTTCATAGATGGGGTTTTAGTTAAACTGGGTATGTAATCAGACTTTTCCTTCCAAAGCTGCCTAAGAGATTCTTTCCTCCACCTCCCCAAAGCAACACTGACATTTCTGCTTGCTTGCTTCTTCTGCTAGAAACTAGGACCAGATCAAAAGGGCCATGCATCATGTGTCATAAGTTCACAAGGGCTTTTCCTACTCTCCCTTCCCTCTATAGCCTCCTCGTGCCCCCAGAAATTGGCTTCTGAGGGCTGGGAGACTCTCCAGAGTAACGTGCAATGCATTGCACCGAGGGGCAGTGTGGGAGGGTCAGGTGGAATTGGGTGACACACTGGCCCCACCTGCGCAGGGACGTTCAGCGGCCTCTTTGGGTCCTGGCCTGTACAGGGTGTATCAAGGGGAAGTTACATCTTTATTCTTTTATCCTCTTAATACATATTAAGACATATGTCTGTTTTATTAAACCTTTTTCTGAAGTAGTGTAGTTTTGATTGCGTTTCAGAGACCCTCTAAGAGACGTTCAGACATGCAGAGTTAAATTCCACCCTTTAATGGTGAACCTTTGCTGTGGTGCCTTTTAAGCCAATTGGCTTACCCCGGAATTAATTACCCCGAAGTATGAATTAAGAAAATAAGGGAAGGGCAATTAGCTTTGTGTTCCCTGCTTTTCCCCCTACGTCAGTCTTAAAAGTTGTTTTAAATCTTGTAGTCTTTTTTTAAAACTTTTAAACTTGTTTGAGCTGGTTTGAGTTTACCAAAGAGTGACTTATCCAAAATTATTCATTTTGATTGTACAGGTTCCAGGTTCAAAGCATGTGGTGGGACTGTTAGCAGCCTCGAAGTTATCAGTCTGGCAACACCCTCATTCAAGAGATTTTTTTTTTAAATTCCATGTCTGCTTGCTTGTGCATATATTATTTATCCCTTCCCACTGCCTACTGGGGTTAAGAATTATCAAGCCATAATATAGTACTGTAAAGATCAGAGAGTTTCATAGGACATGCAGAGGCAACGCTAGGGGTGTAATCTGGAGAAGTGGATGTGTGCATCTTCCATTACTTTCCATGAGATTTGAACATGCTTAAAGGCCTGTTCACACAAGACCATTTAGTGGCCAGGTGACATAGGCGTTAGCAAACAGTATCCCTGCTCACCTTTGGATGTGCAGTTTTGTGGACAAGCAACATGGGAGACCAGGCAGTCATGAAGAGTATGCAGAGCTCCCGACACAAACATTTACTGGCATTTTCTTTAATAGTTCCATCAATTGATTGCTCGATAATAGTTCTTTGAGGCATTCTTCCCCCACTCCCTGTCCTGTGTTACCTGCACTGAGTCGTTGCATTGTTACACTGCTCATTACTGCTTAAAATTATTTCTAGGTCACCTTTTAGGATAGAGCCCTCTTCCGGAAGCATACAAAATGAAGCGGTATCAGTAATATCCATAAAAACTATTCAAAATTTCATCACAACAGATACTGCCAGTTAAAAGCAATGAAAGCAAGCTTGCCAATAGAAGGCAGTACCCCTGACAGCACATGATGGGCATATCGTGAGCGGAGCCGGCTGGAGCCGGGGGTCAGACTAGATGGCCCGGGAGGACCCTTCTGACTCGCTCTGTTTCTATGTTTCTTCCTGAAGAGCGGCAAAGAAGGGGCATGCCAAAGTTCTGGTAGAAGTTGATTCCAGAGGTACATGTTCAAGCAGAAGTCAGAGAACTGCTATTTCGGGTAGCCGCTGCACCTGCCCTTTAAGTGGAGGAACCACTCCCTGCTTTACCCATGACTGCCTAGTTCTCCTGTCCAAGTTGCCCACATCAGTCCACAAGTTCCCCAAAATGGCCAGAGGGGAATCCTTGCACAGGGGCCCCCATCTTGTCTCCCTTGGACTTTGCCCTTTGAGACGGGAGAGACCGGCCGGTGATAAACTTCAGCTGCAGCAGCAGCAGCTTCTGAAGTGTGCCTTGTTGCATCGCGGTTCCATGGTCACCATTTGAAATGTCATATCTTAGGCCCACCGTGGCACGTGGCATGTTTTGAACGCGATTGGGTGAATTCCAAAAGCGACTGCGCGGTCCCAACTTGCTGTGCAGTTGCAGAGTAGGGCAGAACTGTTAATACATTTCATTTACAATAAATGCAGCGGATAAGGAAATCCGTGTGATCTATGAAACGTTGGGTTAAAATATGTGAAACTATAAGGCTGGTTCATAATTGAGTCTCTTAATCTACCTTGTTAGCTACATAGACAATGTGAAGAGACAGGTGACGGTGTCCTTTTTTTCTTTAGATGTTTAACCTATTTACAAACTGTGAAAACAAAAATTTATACTTTTTTGCTAATGTTTGTGGTTTTAAGCAGCTGTTAATTTTTCCCTAACTGATTTATCTTCCATATAATTTCTATTGAAGTTGTAAATAAATTCAGAAAATAGCTTTGTAAATAAGTGAGGGGTTTTTAAAGTAACAGCGCCTCACAGTTGGTTCTGTATTCAAGTATGAATGGTTTTAGTAGCAGAAAGGATACTGTCTGTTCACTGTTTGGCAGAATTTACTGTAAGCTGAAATCAGGGATGATCACCTGAAAGGAGGATTTCTAGAACTGCAGAAGCCACCATCTTAGCCCTTCAAAGTGTGAGAAATTACTAGAACTTTTGTGTCTTACGCACTTAGGGCTTTTGCAGACATAACAGAACTGATCTAGCCAGTTTCCTCCCTCACCCTTAAAGCCCAGTTAGATGTTGGACTTGATGTTAATTGCAATTAAGGTGACCCACATCCTCCACTTACCTATTATTCTTAATCAGCTTCAAAACCTGGTTCAGAATCATAGCTAAGCAGGTCAGCTGGTGCGGCTTAACCATGGTTGAAGTAAGAGGTGAGGACTTGCTCTAGGTCAGTCTCTTTAGTCATGGCTGAGATCTGATCTTTTGTCACCCCAAAATGGTGTCAACGGTGCGCACTTGGCAGGGAGCGTGCAAGCTGCATGAAGGGCTGACATGAAGGTAGCACATAACCCATCTCTGAGTTCGAGCGCGCCTGACCTAAATTGAATTTGTAGAAGTCTCTTACAGGTCCCAGACTACATGCGGTCTCTTTTATTTCTAGATAAAATTAAGTTGTTCTTTGAAGTAATTCTCGTGGGCTAACATACAGGAAGACTGGCAGGAATCTTAAAAACAAGGGCTGGGAAAGAATGGTGCGGCTGAGCTTTACCTTTACAAAAACGTATCTTATCTGAAATGATGTTTGTTTAGTTTACTGTGACTTCTTTTTTGACATCTGAAAGGGTTTCACGTGGAAGCCACTGAAAAGGGACTCAAATATGCAACACCTAATCTATTTTCTAAGGGAATTTTACCCTTGAATGGTGCTTTTAGACTGGTCAGGGTTATTTATTAAATTTTTATATATTTTAAAGTATTTGGGAATTGTGTAAATCCTTTATATAAATATATATATATGAATCTATTTAGTTCATGAATTGTAAGCAACAGTAATACTCAGCAACTGAACCCAAAGTTCAGTGAAGTCATTCAGAATGTTCAGAGTTTGGCAGTCCTGCCATCTTTTCGCCAAATACCTATACAGGTATTTAACTTTGCACCCTGTTAATGTGCCGCCACTCTTAAAGTGGACGTGTTAATTCAGATTACCTAACAGTGCTATACAGGAATTGGGTCTGAGGGTATTCTCGTTTGTTCTCACTCGGAGATGTGGAGCAAAGAATGGGTAAGGACCTGTTTTCAAAGACATGGGACTTGGCTGGTGCTCTTACTGTTGGGACACCTCCGTGGTTTTCAGGGCTGGCCTGGAAGGAGCGCCCCAATTCCTTCAAATCATTTGTGGGACGGATCCACAAGAAGGTGTGGCGATCCAAACTAGTCCACAGCCAGCAGTGGGAACTACTGACGTGTTGTTGACTTTGTGAACAGGCCTCAGTTGGCCAGCAGACTTGGTCCATCCTGGAACAGGGATGGGCAGATCTCAGGTTTCCGGGATCTACTTTTTTCTATTTTACTATGTTTCCATTATTATTCCGTTGCACTTCTATCTCACCGTTCTTCCTCTTGCAAGGAAGCCATTTACAAAGTCTTCCTCTCCAGAAGCCCAAGGTACACTAATCAGATAGGGGCACATTAATGAATCAGTAGGGTGGACATAATGCTTTAAAATCAAGGACCAGTGTACCTCTGAGCATATTCTAAGCCAAGGAACTTGTTTTCAGTACTAGAACTGAACCCTGGTCCTTTCAGATCCGTCCCCCCTGCTGTCGCAGCTTTGTTTCAAGTGGTCTTTGTTTAATAATCAGGACTTGGAAACCCTTCCTTATATATTGCAAACTTCTCTGAATATCCAGATCTACCTTCCCCTGTTCTTGAACGTGCTTTGACATCTAGCAGTTCCTTGTCAGAAAAGTCTGATGTAGAAAACAATCCCTGAAGATAGGAAAAAAGGGAAAACATAGGCATCCCAGGAAGTTAATCTTTGGACTTTGCTAAAGTCTTGTTTACACCTCTTTTGATTAGATGAGAAAATCATGGCAGACTTGCATGATATAGCTAGTTTTGGTTTACCAGAAAAATGGTATTTTTAAGTAAACTATCATTTATGCATAGCTTTTGTTTTCCTCATCAATATTTGAACACTTTGAATGACTTACCTCAGTGTCAATATCTTGCAATATTAAACCGGTAACCTCACAAACTCCACACTTCATCACCATATGAAGTAAATGAAGCTAGCTAAAGCGGATGCTGTTAAAGCAACGAACTTGCCATTAAGGATTATTTTATAGCATGAAATATTTTAGAATATTTATTCAAATGATATTTTACTCTTGTACTCAGATTTTTTGTTTGTTTTTAGATTTTGTGACATGAATATTTCAGTGCTGCTTTATTTTGTTCTGATGGATTTCTTGTTCTTTGCTTGTAAATTGCCTTTTTTATGGTATAAATAAAGTCAATGGGGATTGCTGTTTATAAATTAAAATGCTTCTGAAGCACACATCCAGTCTCTGAATTCTGATTTATTTATTATTTGACAGGAAGAATATTATTGAGTCTTCATTTCCACCCTTCATTTCGGTTTGGATTGTTAGGAATCCAAATCTCATAGCTGTTCGGCTAGTTGGGCTTTAATCATATATGCATTTACTTTGGACTGCGTCTTAAGTTCCGTGCAATTTCCTTTGAAGTAGATGGTGGTGGTGGTGATGATGATATTTCTCAGCTGCCTTTTAGGACACGAGCCTTTCCAAGGTGGTATAGAACACCACTGCTCACTTAATGGGAAAAATGATATGGTAATAAAATATGCAACACCAGCAAGCCTTTAATGAGCAGCACCAGCACCACCAGCAGCAGAAAACAAAACCTACATTGCAGAAGCCTGCCGAAACCATCTGGAGAAAGCCAAGGTCGAGTCAAGTCTTCGGGGCCTGGCAGGTCTCCATTGGCAGAAGTGTGGGGCTGCTTTGGAAACCCCCCTCAGAGAGGTATAATGAGAAGTGCTTCTCTCGGTCTTAAGTAGGGGCAGTCTGATACAGCCAAAGGTGGGCCTTCCAGAATCTGGTCCCAAACTATTGAAGGCTTTAAAGGCTGAAACTAGACTTTAAGTTGGGCTCAGAAAAACAGGAAGCAGTGCAGCTAGAGCAGTATCTGATTGGCTCTTCTCCCACCAGCACTTGGCCACCACATTCTCTACCAGCTGAGCTTTCCAGACGCTTCAAAGGCACTTTCAGGTACAGTGCGAGACAGTCCTACAGCCTGAGCGTTATTAGTTGCATGCGTGGTTGAGGCAAGGTCTGTGGCTGGCCTATCAGCCTAAGCTGGTGGAAAGTATTCCTCTTCCCCAGTTAACCAAGAGGACTCCCAGGTTAAGCATTTGATATTTTAAGGAACCACGGAAGAAAAGCCCTGCTGGATCAGACCAATGGCCCAGTCCAGCACTCCGTGGCAATCCAGTGGCCTACAAGATCACTCAAGCAGGATGAGTGCAAGAGTTTCTCCTGCCACAGCAACTGGTCTACTCTGGTGTGTTAGCCGGTCACATCTAAGACCAGCTGCACACTTCCAACCAGAGTCATTGACTGCATGACCCATGATGGTTCTTTTGGGTTAAGGTACAGCTTGTTCACCCTCATCCATTCAAACGGCTTTAGGACACTGGTTCAAGCATCCCAGAGACTCACCAAAATGCACGTGGAAAAGGGAGCCAACCATGAGATAAAGCCAAGATCCAAATGGCCTGATGGACCTCCCTCCATGGTTTCACACAGACATTGGAAAGCTTGGGAGATGGGATGGAACCGACTAATGGCCATGGGGGCGGTGGGGGGGGAGGGAGTCTTCCAGCAACTGTTTCAGAGACCAGTTCCCACTCTGCTTCCAACAGCATCAGGCCATTGGTATCAAAAGCTGCTGAGAAGATCAAACACACTTATCTAAGGTCATCCAAGTCTTAGATCAGCAAGAACATACTCCACATTGGCACCTCTCCCAGAGAAAGAATTCCACCTGGAGGTCTTGCCTCAGTTTTACAAAATCCTTTCTTCAGTGATGTTGGCAGAGGCAAAGTCTTCCAGAATTTAGAGGGAAAAAAGGTGTTTCTTGGCTGATGCATTGCTATGTAATCCTGGATTGAATCAAGTACAAAATACTTAGTTAGAATTGAAGTGTAGCTTATACACCAGTTTTTATTCATTGGTTTTTTTTTCTTTTTTGGTAAAAAGGGGTATCTAACTGCAACACCATCTGCTGCCTAGTACAAAAGGAAATTTTCCTGTTTGTCTCATGTGGAAGGATACTTCACCCGGACATCGCACTTCTACAATTGTACAGGTGACCAAAAAAAGGTACAACAGTAAATCCAAAAGTCAGACCACCTGTCTCAGCTTGAAGCTGTTTTTCAGGAATGGCTGCGAATTTGATGCCATCAGAAAATATATTGAAATGCTGCCACTAATGCACACATAGCATTATATGGCCCCAAACTAACCCAAGTCTAATTGGCGGCCTATTTTTGGCAGTGCGGCACTTTCCTTTGGTGTAGCTTCCAGGCCATACTGGAAGAAAAAGGCACTAAAAGTCCCTGGAAGCACTTTCAGCAAAAATTTACAGTGCTTCAAACACAGCAGTATTACATTTCTATGAAAACCTGTCCGAGGCTACTGTCCATATCGGCAGGAATTACGGCTCAAGGCATCTGGAACGCACCAGACTGAGCTATTTTGGTGTGCTTTTTGGCTGGTGCTCCTACAAAGCCTGCAATCACGGCATCCAAGTTGGTTTTGCCACACATACGCCCGCTGTGATGCTCTGCTGTGGACCAGCCCCACCGTCCCAGTTCCGCAAACTGGGCATGGCCGTAAGGACGGACGGACGGAGGCCAGGCTGAGCCAGCAGGAGCAACTGCTCTCTGGGATAGTTCTCGCTTTAGATAGCTGGTGAGCCGGCCACCTTCAGGCCTTTATGGGGAGAAGTTGGCCCTTCACACACAAGGACTGCCAATGGGTGTTTCTGCCTGCATGCACCCCTGTGCTCCTGGTTCTCATATTACAGCGTGGCTAAATTCAACTGCAATTGCTTCATAGCTATCTTAAGTCCGCTTTCAACATGTTGACACAGTGAGGCATCCTAGTGCAAAATAAGTCTGCGGTCACGAATTACTTAATCTAATCGCTGCCTTCCAGTGTCGAGGCAGCCAAAAATCTGCTTGCTTGCTTGCTTGCTTGCTTGCTTGCTTGCTTGCTTGCTTGCTTTCCTGATGCACAGCAGGGGCTTGTTTTTGAGTTTTTTAAGCATCAGTCCCCTGGGCTTAACTACACGCCGCTCTTGAAAGCAGGGAGGGGAAGTGCAAAAATAGTTTTTATATGATAAAAAGGTCTTCTGTTCAGAGTGCTTTGCAGATCTAATTTGCATGTGTTTAACTTGCTTTTTGGATTTTTGCTGCTTTTGACTGATAATCCTCTATTCCAGCCCAGCTGCAACGTGTCCCAGCAGTAAAAACAAAAACAAAAAAATTGAAATAATAACATGGATCTTTCCAGTATCAAAAGCTAAGCAAAATAAACTGCTCAACCTTTCTGAGAACTGAAAACCACAGAAGGGGCTTTATCTCTGTACTTCCCTAATTCTTATTTTAAAAGTCTTAGTTTTCCCCATTTCTTTAATAAGTGTTGTTTCCCAATTTGTCTGCCTTGAACCTGGTTTGGACACAACACCAAGCTATTATTTAGTGTTTACCTGCATGACTTTGAGATTCAGTGCCTTCCCTCTTCTTTGGCACACCTTTGAGCGACGGGAAATTCTGGTGAGTTTAAACTGTGCTCTGCTAAGAAGCCAGGATGAAATCTGGCTTGTTTATTAACCAGAGTTGAACTAGAACAAGATTAGGGAACACACAATCCCACCAGATTATGAACTCCAATTACTATTAGCCCCAGCTGGCATGACCAGTGGGCAGGGATAGTGGGAGCTGTACTGCAGCATCGTCTGGATACCCACAGGTTCTCTCTCCCATTGTGGAACTCAAGGGGGCTCCATGCACTTCCCAGCTGGTCTCCCCTCCAAGCTCAGGCCAGCACTGGGCCTGCTTAGCTTCAGCATGTTGGATGCTTTATGTGCTTCCAGACCATACTATGGACTTGCCGCTCCTCACTGCTTTCCGATGTATAGGCTAGGCTGCGTTCGGCGTGCTACGGGGATGAAGGTGGCAGCTGGAACTAAGAGCCATTCTCGTGAGTACGGTTACAGCGTCCTCTCCTAAACTATGCTCGGTTAGGTAACATTTCATCTTCAAATATGATGCCATTTAGGCAGCTGGTGGCAATTAGAAACTCTTTGGTTGTACTGGGAAATGGCCGTTGACGTTCTGAGTGGTTTGAACGTAAGAAGAGCTTGCTTAGAACTGAACCAGGGTCCACGCAGACCTTCTTTCCACTGGAAGGGCTGGAGGCTCAATTTAGCCCTCCAAGACGAGTGGCCATGACTATGTCTAGCCTCTGTCCTGCCCTCCTTTTAATTCATCCTGAGCTGGTAGCTATAATCACAACAGTGAATTCCTTTATTTTATGAAGTTGCAAAAGAAAGATGATTTCATTCAGTCTGTTCTGGATTTGCAGCCAATCAAATTTCAGTCAAAAATCACAAGTTCCAATATTACAAGAAAGAAAGGAAAACCATCTATTTCCTAATCCCATGTATAAGTGTAAAATAAACTACCATAGCCCCATGTTTTATTTCAGCTAAATAGCACTGGAAGCCTTTAGCAGTCAATAAACAATGTGATCCCTCCACCCCCCAAAAAAACATTTTGAGGATCATGTTGTTAACATCAAGACCAGCAATAAATATTTATATCAGAAGCAGGAAACCGTTATGGATGTAATTGGACAACAATGGAATTAATGGCATGCTAAAGGAATATAAGCAGAATGTGAAGAAATGGCATGAATGTGTTTTTTCCTGTTTTCTGAAGGAGATGTTGGGTAGCTTGAACCAATGTTTACAGGAAGGGAAACTGAGGAACTCAGATGATGCAAGATGAAGTTCTCAGTGCTATTGGCTAACTTTCAGTTTGTTGGTTAGACCCAGAAGGTATCCAGATGCTGGTCTTCTCTAAGATCACCCTCTGTACCAGAGGACTGCAGAATGACCAATGTCCCACCAATGTTTGAAGAAGAATCCAGGGGGGAGAGGTGTGTCTGGGAAATTAGCTAAATGTTTGTTCAAGGCAAAATGGCTGAAAGTATCAAGAAAGATAAAGCCAGGGTACAACCCTTCATCCCCACCTTGGATGAATGCAAGACCTTGAACTTGGAGGTTTGCATGCATCCAGGGTAAGGAGCAAGGTGCGGCAGTGGTAGGCTTTGTGTGGTGCCACCCTATGTGTGAACGGCTGTTTTAGGCTATCCAGATGAAGTGCCACGGAACTGGAGCTAAGAAGGTCATTGTTGCTGCTATTATTATTCATTTCATTCTCTACCACTCCTAGACAAAACCCTC